ATGGAGGTGGTGGAGGTGATGGACGTGGTGGAGGTGATGGAGATGGTGGAGGTGGTGGAGGTGTTGGTGGAGGTGGAGGTGGTGGAGGTGGTGGAGGTGTTGGTGTAGGTGGAGGTGGTGGAGGTGGTGGAGGTGTTGGTGGAGGTGGTGGAGGTGGTGGAGGTGTTGGTGGAGGTGGTGGAGGTGGTGGAAATAGAGGTGGTGGAGGTGGTGGAGGTGGTGGAGGTGTTGGTGGAGGTGGTGGAGGTGGTGGAGGTGTTGGTGGAGGTGGTGGAGGTGGTGGAGGTGGTGGAGGTAGAGGTGGTGGAGGTGATGGAGGTGGTGGAGGTGTTGGTGGAGGTGGTGGAGGTGGTGGAGGTGATGGTGGAGGTGGTGGAGGTGGTGAAGGTGGTGGAGGTGATGGAGGTGGTGGAGGTGATGGAGGTGGTGGAGGTGGTGGAGGTGGTGGAGATGGTGGAGGTGGAGGTGGTGGAGGTGGAGGTGGTGGAGGTGTTGGTGGAGGTGGTGGAGGTGGTGGAGGTGATGGAGGTGGTGGAGGTGGTGGAGGTGGTGGAGATGGTGGAGGTGGAGGTGGTGGAGGTGGTGGAGGTGGTGGAGGTGTTGGAGGTGGTGGAGGTGGTGGAGGTGGTGGAGGTGGTGGAGGTGGTGGAGGTGGAGGTGGAGGTGGTGGAGGTGGTGGAGGTGGTGGAGGTGGTGGAGGTGGAGGTGTTGGTGGAGGTGGAGGTGGTTGGGTTGATGGAGGTGGTGGAGTTGGTGGAGGTGGTGGAGGTGTTGGAGGTGGTGGAGATGGTGGAGGTGGTGGAGGTGGTGGAGGTGGAGGTGGTGGTGGAGGTGGTGGAGGTGTTGGTGGAGGTGGTGGAGGTAGTGGAGGTGGTGGAGGTGATGGAGGTGGTGGAGGTGGTGGAGGTGGTGGAGGTGACGGAGGTGGTGGAGGTGATGGAGGTGGTGGAGGTGACGGAGGTTGTGGAGGTGATGAAGGTGGTGGAGGTGGTGGAGGTGGTGGAGGTGATGGAGGTAGTAGAGGTGGTGGAGGTGATGGAGGTGGTGGAGGTGGTGGAGGTGGTGGAGGTGACGGAGGTGGTGGAGGTAATGGAGGTGGTGGAGGTGACGGAGGTTGTGGAGGTGATGAAGGTGGTGGAGGTGGTGGAGGTGGTGGAGGTGATGGAGGTAGTAGAGGTGGTGGAGGTGGTGGAGGTGGTGGAGGTGACGGAGGTGGTGGAGGTGATGGAGGTGGTGGTGGTGGTGGAGGTGGTGGAGGTGACGGAGGTGGTGGAGGTGATGGAGGTGGTGGAGGTGATGGAGGTGGTGGAGGTGTTTGTGGAGGTGGTGGAGGTGGTAGAGGTGTTGGTGGAGGTGGTGGAGGTGGTGGAGGTGTTGGTGGAGGTGGAGGTGGTGGAGGTGGTGGAGGTGTTGGTGGAGGTGGTGGAGGTGGTGGAGGTGTTGGTGGAGGTGGTGGAGGTGGTGGAGGTAGAGGTGGTGGAAGTGGTGGAGGTGGTGGAGGTGGTGGAGGTGTTGGTGGAGGTGTTGGTGGAGGTGGTGGAGGTGTTGGTGGAGGTGGAGGTGGTGGAGGTGGTGGAGGTAGAGGTGGTGGAGGTGATGGAGGTGGTGGAGGTGTTGGTGGAGGTGGTGGAGGTGGTGGAGGTGGAGGTGGTGGAGGTGATGGAGGTGGTGGAGGTGATGGAGGTGGTGGAGGTGGTAGAGGTTTTGGTGGAGGTGGTGGAGGTGGAGGTGGTGGAGGTGATGGTGGAGGTGGTGGAGGTGGTGGAGGTGGAGGTGGTGGAGGAGGTGTTGGTGGAGGTGGTGGAGGTGGTGGAGGTGTTGGTGGAGGTGGTGGAGGTGGTGGAGGTGATGTCGGTGGTGGAGGTGATGGAGGTAGTAGAGGTGGTGGAGGTGGTGGAGGTGGTGGAGGTGATGGAGGTGGTGGAGGTGGTGGAGGTGATGGAGGTAGTAGAGGTGGTGGAGGTGGTGGAGGTGGTGGAGGTGATGGAGGTGGTGGAGGTGGTGGAGGTGGTGGAGGTGACGGAGGTGGTGGAGGTGATGGAGGTGGTGGAGGTGACGGAGGTTGTGGAGGTGATGAAGGTGGTGGAGGTGGTGGAGGTGGTGGAGGTGATGGAGGTAGTAGAGGTGGTGGAGGTGATGGAGGTGATGGAGGTGGTGGAGGTGGTGGAGGTGGTGGAGGTGACGGAGGTGGTGGAGGTGATGGAGGTGGTGGAGGTGACGGAGGTTGTGGAGGTGATGAAGGTGGTGGAGGTGGTGGAGGTGCTGGAGGTGGTGGAGGTGGTGGAGGTGGTGGAGGTGACGGAGGTGGTGGAGGTGGTGGAGGTGGTGGAGGTGACGGAGGTGGTGGAAGTGATGGAGGTGGTGGAGGTGATGGACGTGGTGGAGGTGATGGAGATGGTGGAGGTGGTGGAGGTGTTGGTGGAGGTGGAGGTGGTGGAGGTGGTGGAGGTGTTGGTGTAGGTGGAGGTGGTGGAGGTGGTGGAGGTGTTGGTGGAGGTGGTGGAGGTGGTGGAGGTGTTGGTGGAGGTGGTGGAGGTGGTGGAAATAGAGGTGGTGGAGGTGGTGGAGGTGGTGGAGGTGTTGGTGGAGGTGGAGGTGGTGGAGGTGGTGGAGGTGTTGGTGGAGGTGGTGGAGGTGGTGGAGGTGGTGGAGGTAGAGGTGGTGGAGGTGATGGAGGTGGTGGAGGTGTTGGTGGAGGTGGTGGAGGTGGTGGAGGTGATGGTGGAGGTGGTGGAGGTGGTGGAGGTGGTGGAGGTGGTGGAGGTGGTGGAGGTGATGGAGGTGGTGGAGGTGGTGGAGGTGGTGGAGATGGTGGAGGTGGAGGTGGTGGAGGTGGTGGTGGTGGAGGTGTTGGTGGAGGTGGTGGAGGTGGTGGAGGTGATGGAGGTGGTGGAGGTGGTGGAGGTGGTGGAGATGGTGGAGGTGGAGGTGGTGGAGGTGGTGGAGGTGGTGGAGGTGTTGGAGGTGGTGGAGATGGTGGAGGTGGTGGAGGTGGTGGAGGTGGTGGAGGTGGAGGTGGAGGTGGTGGAGGTGGTGGAGGTGGTGGAGGTGGTGGAGGTGGAGGTGTTGGTGGAGGTGGAGGTGGTTGGGTTGATGGAGGTGGTGGAGTTGGTGGAGGTGGTGGAGGTGTTGGAGGTGGTGGAGATGGTGGAGGTGGTGGAGGTGGTGGAGGTGGAGGTGGTGGTGGAGGTGGTGGAGGTGTTGGTGGAGGTGGTGGAGGTAGTGGAGGTGGTGGAGGTGTTGGTGGAGGTGGTGGAGGTGGTGGAGGTAGTAGAGGTGGTGGAGGTGGTGGAGGTGGTGGAGATGATGGAGGTGGTGGAGGTGGTGGAGGTGGTGGAGGTGACGGAGGTGGTGGAGGTGATGGAGGTGGTGGAGGTCACGGAGGTTGTGGAGGTGATGAAGGTGGTGGAGGTGGTGGAGGTGATGGAGGTGGTGGAGGTGGTGGAGGTGGTGGAGGTGACGGAGGTGGTGGAGGTGATGGAGGTGGTGGAGGTGGTGGAGGTGATGGAGGTGGTGGAGGTGGTGGAGGTGGTGGAGGTGACGGAGGTGGTGGAGGTGACGGAGGTGGTGGAGGTGATGGAGGTGGTGGAGGTGATGGACGTGGTGGAGGTGGTGGAGATGGTGGAGGTGGTGGAGGTGTTGGTGGAGGTGGAGGTGGTGGAGGTGGTGGAGGTGTTGGTGGAGGTGGAGGTGGTGGAGGTGGTGGAGGTGTTGGTGGAGGTGGTGGAGGTAGTGGAGGTGTTGGTGGAGGTGGTGGAGGTGGTGGAGGTGTTGGTGGAGGTGGTGGAGGTGGTGGTGGTCGAGGTGGTGGAGGTGGTGGAGGTGTTGGTGGAGGTGGTGGAGGTGGTGGAAGTGTTGGTGGAGGTGGTGGAGGTGGTGGAGGTAGAGGTGGTGGAGGTGATGGAGGTGGTGGAGGTGTTGGTGGAGGTGGAGGTGGTGGAGGTGGTGGAGGTGGTGGAGGTGGAGGTGATGGTGGAGGTGGTGGAGGTGATGGAGGTGGTGGAGGTGATGGAGGTGGTGGAGGTGGTGGAGGTGGTGGAGATGGTGGAGGTGGAGGTGGTGGAGGTGGTGGAGGTGGTGGAGGTGTTGGTGGAGGTGGTGGAGGTGGTGGAGGTGATGGAGGTGGTGGAGGTGATGGAGGTGGTGGAGGTGGTGGAGATGATGGAGGTGGAGGTGGTGGAGGTGGTGGAGGTGGTGGAGGTGTTGGTGGAGGTGGAGGTGGTGGAGGTGGTGGAGGTGTTGGTGGAGGTGGTGGAGGTGGTGGAGGTAGAGGTGGTGGAGGTGGTGGAGGTGGTGGAGGTGTTGGTGGAGGTGGTGGAGGTGGTGGAGGTGTTGGTGGAGGTGGTGGAGGTGGTGGAGGTAGAGGTGGTGGAGGTGATGGAGGTGGTGGAGGTGTTGGTGGAGGTGGTGGAGGTGGTGGAGGTGGAGGTGATGGTGGAGGTGGTGGAGGTGGTGGAGGTGATGGAGGTGGTGGAGGTGGTGGAGGTGGTGGAGATGGTGGAGGTGGAGGTGGTGGAGGTGGTGGAGGTGGAGGTGGTGGAGGTGTTGGTGGAGGTGGTGGAGGTGGTGGAGGTGATGGAGGTGGTGGAGGTGGTGGAGGTGGTGGAGGTGATGGTGGAGGTGGAGGTGGTGGAGGTGGTGGAGGTGGTGGTGGAGGTGGTGGAGGTGGTGGAGGTTTTGATGGAGGTGGTGGAGGTGGAGGTGGTGGAGGTATTGGTGGAGGTGGAGGTGGTGGAGGTGGTGGAGGTGGTGGAGGTGTTGGTGGAGGTGGTGGAGGTGGTGGAGGAGGTGGAGGAGGTGGAGGTGGTGGAGGTGATGGAGGTGGTGGAGGTGGTGGAGGTGTTGGTGGAGGAGGTGGAGGTGGTGGAGGTGTTGGTGGAGGTGTTGGTGGAGGTGGTGGAGGTGGTGGAGGAGGTGGAGGTGGTGGAGGTGGTGGAGGTGTTGGTGGAGGTGGTGGAGGTGGTGGAGGTGTTGGTGGAGGTGGTGGAGGTGCGTCTCACTCGTTCCAGGACTGCGAGCAGCATTGCTCCATGGTGTCGAGCAGTTCGGACTCGGGCAGCTCGGCGCTGCCACTGAGCCCCTTGCGGAGCGCCGGCCTCTTCTGCACGGCCCTGCTCAGGTGCTCCTGCATCTGGGGGCGGGCGGGGGGGGCAAGGTTGAATGAGTCCGACTCTCCCACGTGGGTAGGCGAAGACACGTGGTCGGTGACACGAGGGTAACGTGGTCCACTAGGTAGGGTAACCTGGGTGGTTGAATCTGTGCGGGTCGTTAACATCGGGCTTTTTCATGACAAGGTAACCAAATTTAAAATAAAACGGTTATCAGTTGTCAACAGTGCATAAAGGAAACATGTCTAGATCAGTAAGCGTGGCGCTGCTTATCCACGGTGGCATAAACGGTGAGCGCACTGGACCTGCAAGCGCACTGGACCTGCAAGCGAACTGGACCTGCAAGCGCACTGGACCTGCAAGCCAGAGGTCGCCGGTTCGATTCCATCTCCCGGCGCGGCACCTCTGTCCACCCGGCACAGTTGACGCGCAGGTGCGGTGTGGTGTGGTGTGGTGCGGTGTGGTGTAGTGTGGTGTGGTGTAGTGTGGTGTGGTGCGGTGCGGTGTGGTGTGGTGTGGTGTGGTGTGGTGCGGTGTGGTGTGGTGCGGTGTGGTGTGGTGCGGTGTGGTGTGGTGCGGTGTGGTGTGGTGCGGTGTGGTGTGGTGCGGTGTGGTGTGGTGTAGTGTGGTGTGGTGCGGTGTGGTGTGGTGCGGTGTGGTGTGGTGTGGTGCGGTGTGGTGTGGTGCGGTGTGGTGTGGTGCGGTGTGGTGTGGTGCGGTGTGGTGTGGTGCGGTGTGGTGCGGTGTAGTGCGGTGTGGTGTGGTGCGGTGTGGTGTGGTGTAGTGTGGTGCGGTGCGGTGTAGTGCGGTGTGGTGTGGGGCGGTGTGGTGTGGTGTAGTGTGGTGTGGTGCGGTGTGGTGTGGTGCGGTGTGGTGTGGTGTGGTGTGGTGCGGTGTGGTGTGGTGCGGTGTGGTGTGGTGTAGTGTGGTGTGGTGCGGTGTGGTGTGGTGCGGTGTGGTGCGGTGTGGTGTGGTGCGGTGTGGTGTGGTGTGGTGTGGTGCGGTTTGGTGTGGTGTGGTGCGGTGTGGTGTGGTGCGGTGTGGTGCGGCGTGGTGCGGTGTGGTGCGGTGTGGTGTGGTGCGGTGTGGTGCGGTGTGGTTCGGTGTGGTGCGGTGTGGTGTGGTGCGGTGTGGTGCGGTGTGGTGTGGTGCGGTTTGGTGTGGTGTGGTGCGGTGTGGTGTGGTGCGGTGTGGTGCGGCGTGGTGCGGTGTGGTGCGGTGTGGTGTGGTGCGGTGTGGTGTGGTGCGGTGTGGTGTGGTGCGGTGTGGTGTGGTGCGGTGTGGTGTAGTGTGGTGTGGTGCGGCGTGGTGCGGTGTGGTGCGGTGTGGTGTGGTGCGGCGTGGTGCGGTGTGGTGCGGTGTGGTTCGGTGCGGTGTGGTGCGGTGTGGTTCGGTGTGGTGCGGTGTGGTTCGGTGCGGTGTGGTGTGGTGTGGTTCGGTGTGGTGTGGTGTGGGCTCTCCCTTTCCAACACGTCCGGTCTGCGTGGAGGAGTAGGCCAAACGCCCTCTCTGAGAGCTCGCTCAAGCGGCGTGAGCGAGCAGCTCCAGGGCCCCCCCCATCACCTCTCAAACTGACCACGATGGTAAAACGAACCGCGCCAGACAATCGGTGAGTTCGCATCATCACCACTGGAATCGGTTACCGGCTCCAAACTTTCTTCACCAATTTCACAACCCTCGCGGGCACTACGTGTGTGGGACCTATACAGGGGACCCCCCTATACAGGGCTCCCCTATGCAGAGGTCACCTATACAGGGCTCCCCTATCCAGGGGGCGTCCTCTATGCAGAAGTCCCCGATACAGGGGGTCTTCTGTACAAGGGGCTCCCCTATGCAGGTCCCCTATCTAGGGGGGTCCCCTATACAATGGTCCACTATCTAGGGGGGACCCCTATCCAGGGGGGTTCTCTATGCAGAGGTCCCCTATACAGGGGGGGTCCTCTGTACAAGGGGGGTCCCTATCCAAGGGGTCCTCTGTACAAGGGGGTACCTGGTAGGCGATGGCTCGGCACGCGTCACAGCGGAGGTGCTGGGGCATGTGCTGGGAGTGTCCTTCCTCGTCGCTCAGCTCGGGCGTCTGGAAACTCAGCGTTCCCCCGGCGGTGCCAAGTCCATCCGCCGCGTCCTTGCTCGCGGCGGCCCCGCAGGGCGACAGCAGCGCGCAGACCGCGAGGCACCAGCAGCAGCAGCACCACGCGGTCATCTTCATCGTCATCTTCATCGTTGTCGTGATGGTGACGACGATTATACTGCTGCTGATGATGATACTGATGATGACACTGCTGCTGGTACTGTTGATGCTGCTGCTGATGATGCTACTACTGCTGCTGCTGATGATACTGATGATGATACTGATGATGATGATGATACTGATGATATTGATGATGATGATACTGATTATGATACTGATGATGATACTGATGATTATGATGATACTGATGATGATACTGATGATGATGATACTGATGATGATGATACTGATGATGATGATACTGATGATGATGATGAGTGGCGGCTGCACGGGCGGATGTTGGCAGCCCCCTGACCACGGACGTTCCCTTCACGGTGAATCGATCCGCGCGGCTCGCACGAAGCCGTCTTGCAAATCGAAGGATCGATTCCTCGCGTGCGCGCAAAAGGCGGGCGGAGTGGTGGTGGTGATGGTGGGGATGGTGATGATGGTGGTGGTGATGGTGACGATGGTGGTGGTGATGGTGATGATGGTGGGGATGGTGGTGATGGTGGGGATGGTGGTGATGGTGGGGATGGTGATGATGGTGGTGGTGATGGTGATGGTGGTGATGGTGGTGGTGGTGTTGATGGTGGTGATGATGGTGGTGATGGTGGTGATGGTGATGATGGTGGTGGTGATGATGGTGATGGTGGTGATGGTGGTGATGGTGGTGGTGATGGTGGTGGTGGGGATGGTGATGGTGGTGGTGGTGGTGGGGATGGTGGTGATGGCAATGGTGATGGTGGGGATGGTGATGGTGGTGATGGTGGTGGTGATGGAGGAGAAGGCTCGTGGAGGACGCCGCTTGCTGCTGTTGCTGCTTCGCTGCTTCGCTGCTGGGTTGTTGGAGGCAGTCGCCCCTCCAGCAACAACGGAGGGCAGTGGAGCGCCGGGTGGTTACAGTGCGGCAAGGTGGCACAGTCGTGGGTACAGGTGGTGGTGCATCTACCCGGTCATCTCAGTCGGTCAACCCGTGGCACCACCTGGGTCTCTCCCGAGACCTCCTGCACCTAGCCTGGCACAGTAGGGGGTACAGGTGGTGGTGCATCTACCCGGTCATCTCAGTCGGTCAACCCGTGGCACCACCTGGGTCTGTCCCGAGACCTCCTGCACCTAGCCTGGCACAGTAGGGGGTACAGGTGGTGGTGCATCTACCGGTCATCTCAGTCGGTCAACTGGTGGCACCACCTGGGTCTGTCCCGAGACCTCCTGCACCTAGCCTGGCACAGTAGGGGGTACAGGTGGTGGTGCATCTACCCGGTCATCTCAGTCGGTCAACCGGTGGCACCACCTGGGTCTGTCCCGAGACCTCCTGCACCTAGCCTGGCACAGTAGGGGGTACAGGTGGTGGTGCATCTACCCGGTCAACTCAGTCGGTCAACCGGTGGCACCACCTGGGTCTGTCCCGAGACCTCCTGCACCTAGCCTGGCACAGTAGGGGGTACAGGTGGTGGTGCATCTACCCGGTCATCTCAGTCGGTCAACTGGTGGCACCATCTGGGTCTGTCCCGAGACCTCCTGCACCTAGCCTGGCACAGTAGGGGGTACAGGTGGTGGTGCATCAACCCGGTCATCTCAGTCGGTCAACCGGTGGCACCACCTGGGTCTGTCCCGAGACCTCCTGCACCTAGCCTGGCACAGTAGGGGGTACAGGTGGTGGTGCATCTACCCGGTCATCTCAGTCGGTCAACCGGTGGCACCACCTGGGTCTGTCCCGAGACCTCCTGCACCTAGCCTGGCACAGTCGTGGGTACAGGTGGCGGTGCATCTACCCGGTCATCTCAGTCGGTCAACCCGTGGCACCTGCTGGGTCTGTCCCGAGACCTCCTGCACCTAGCCTGGCACAGTAGGGGGTACAGGTGGTGGTGCATCAACCCGGTCATCTCAGTCGGTCAACCCGTGGCACCACCTGGGTCTGTCCCGAGACCTCCTGCACCTAGCCTGGCACAGTAGGGGGTACAGCTGCTGGTGCATCAACCCGGTCATCTCAGTCGGTCAACCCGTGGCACCACCTGGGTCTGTCCCGAGACCCTCCTCCTGTCAGCGAGCCTTCGACACTCCACGTGGTAGCCTCAAAGTGCACCTAGCCTGGCACAGGCGCCGTGGTGACGCCACCATCACTGAGTGGAGAATGGTGCTGGGTGTTGGCGATTGGGTGGCGATGGGGCTGGCCACGACACGCGCTCTCCTCTCTCCGCTCTCTCCTCTCTCTCCACTCTCTCCTCTCTCTCCGCTCTCTCCTCTCTCTCCGCTATCTCCTCTCTCTCCGCTCTCTCCTCTCTCTCCGCTCTCTCCTCTCTCTCCGCTATCTCTCTCTTCGCCCTCTGTACCAGCGTGGACGGCACCCTCCACGTGTTCACCTTCTGAAGCGCTCGCTCGTCACCGTGGCGTGCGCGATGACCACCACCACAACCACCGCCACGTGACTTTTCTTTCGTGTTGTGCGCGGTGCTTTTAGCGCCACAGCGCGTGGATTTGTAGCGTTTATTTTCATTTGTGTTGCTGGTGACTTTGTGTATTTCATGTCGAAATCGCCTCCAGTGCTTTTGCTCCTGGCGGCAATAAAAGTTGTTTAAAAGTCAAGTCTCCTCTCTCCTCTCTCTCTCCGCTCTCTTCTCTCTCAGAGACGGGCGAGGGAGCAGCAGCAAGAGAGCCAGGATCCACAAGCGGGGAAGGCGGCAGGAACTGGCGCCAGCAACCATTGCCCCAAGCTCTGTGGCCCAATATTCGGAATGTATGGCCAACTCAAATTCAGAATGAGTGTTTGTGTGTGTGTGTGTGTCCGTTGAACTTCTTTCGCACCGTACGTAGCCCAACCGCGATAATCGGAGGTGCGGGGGGGGGGAAACAAACTCAACAACCAAAAGCAGTTCTAAAGAAAGGAGTTTTCAATCTGGGCGATGATTTATAAGTGCACGGCTCTCAGTGGCTTCCGAGTTTTGGAAGGAAGAGCGTTCCAGACGGCCGCAAAAGCGCGCGATGCGGCGACCACCGTCTTTGTTCGATGGCAATAGCCAAAAGCCGCTGCCGCCGCTGCTGCTGCAAGGATGACCGCGTGATGGTTCATGCTCCTTGACAAGATCAGCGAGGTATCGTGGTTCATTTGTAGAGTACCTGGAGAGTGGAAACCATCCACGCATGCGACAGCGTAACACTCATTCCCCGTACAGGTAGAAATGAACCCCGCTTGTTGTACACCCTGGCAAGCTGGAGGACGGTGACCTTAGCGCCCACGTGCAGGAGGGAGTCTCACGGGTCCGCGTGTGATCCACCAACCCCGCCTGTCCCCCCCCCCCCGCCCTACTGCCTGGACGGTGCCGCACCACCGGTCACGTGCAGCAGAGCCGCCAAACGTCAAGCGGTCAGCAATAAACAGCACTGTCACAGATGTAATAGATCAAGAGTTGATGTTACTCTTGAATCGAAGGGAGGGGATGGGAGGAGGAGATGGCAAGAGACGCGATGGGAGGGAATTCAAAAGTGGAGCAATGCGAGGGAAGAAGCAGAGAGACGTTGTGACCGGCAGTGTGGTGGTTGTGGTGTTGTGGTGGTTGTGGTGTTGTGACCTGCAGTGTGGTGGTTGTGGTGTTGTGACCTGCAGTGTGGTGGGTGTGGTGGGTGTGGTGGTTGTGGTGTTGTGACCTGCAGTGTGGTGGTTGTGGTGGTTGTGGTGTTGCTGTGACCTGCGGTGTGGTGGTTGTGGTGTTGTGACCTGCAGTGTGGTGGTTGTGGTGTTGTGACCTGCAGTGTGGTGGTTGTGGTGGTTGTGGTGTTGCTGTGACCTGTGGTGTGGTGGTTGTGGTGTTGCTGTGACCTGCGGTGTGGTGGGTGTGGTGGTTGTGGTGTGGTGGTTGTGGTGTTGTGACCGGCAGTGTGGTGGTTGTGGTGTTGTGGTGTGGTGGTTGTGGTGTTGCTGTGACCTGCGGTGTGGTGGGTGTGGTGGTTGTGGTGTTGTGACCTGCAGTGTGGTGGGTGTGGTGTTGTGGTGTGGTGGTTGTGGTGTTGTGACCGGCAGTGTGGTGGTTGTGGTGTTGCTGTGACCTGCAGTGTGGTGGTTGTGGTGTTGTGACCTGCGGTGTGATCGTTGTGGCGTTGTGACCTGCGTTGTGGCGCTGCTCCGTGTGTCTATTCCCAATTTATTTTCAGATCACATTTCAACATTCGGATGTTTTGACCGATACCAGTATCATCCAGAGCAAACCCCACACGCACGAACTCCACACAGAGAGGTGCCCCGAGTCTTGAGTGTTACCACTGTGCCACCAGAGAATAAAGAGAGGAGGCACAACTCACGAGCAGTACGATTCACTTGACCTGGCTTCTTTAATTGACATCAATATTTTTTCTACAACCAAAATCCGTACGCAATGTTTGAAGTCGCATTAATGAGTATTTCGCAAGAAATGATGAACGATGGGAGGCAACATCAGCCCAGCCGTTCCGCCGCCGCCGCCGCCTCCAGCGATCCTGCCATGAGTTGATCCACCTGCCACGTGCAGGATGCTCATTTCATCGCTCCATCTCCTGACGCCGCCCAGTGGCAGTGCCTACGCCGCTTGCTGCAGAGGTTCATGGTTCGAATCCTGCAGGCCAGCCTGGTTATTATTGCGGGTGTATTAACCGTAACAACACGTGCCGCCTGCTTTACAGTAGACGCCCACGATCCCATCGCGTCATTCAAAGCGAGTCGGCCATTGTTGTGCTCGTGTCGCGGTCCGAATTTTCCAAATTAAAAAATTACCCGCAGATTACTCGGTTGGGATTACGTATCGCAACATCGCCCCCCTAATAGCAGACTAATACCCGCTTTTCAGGCCAGGTGCTGAGTCACCTTATGCCCACAGGTAACAGCTGCCACTGCGGGTATCCTTTCAAAAAAATTGTTGAGACGTGATGCAAGTCGCTTATCACGTGTAAAGCACTGGTGATGCACCGTGGCGTAGAAAGCGCTATAAAAAAATCATGATTGGTGGAAACTCCATTTATCTAAAAATGGAATGCTTACCTTTTAGAAAAACCACCCGACTGCGATTGCGCGTTACTACTGGAAATTGCACGGGTGAATTCCAATTCAATTGCGGCAAAACTGTCACTGGAAGTGAGTCCGCGATGGAGCATGAATCGACGCAAGATGCTCAGGGCGTTCTGAGTCTCTGCGTTTGAGGGCAGGGGCAGAGCTTCATCCTTATCATCAGCATCATCAGCATCAGCATCATCACCATTATCGTCCTCGCCAGCATCTGGCTGCTCATCCCCTTCACACTTTGGTTCCTTGCCTGCACACGCAGCGGCCAAGTGCTCAGCATCACAAAACTCCTCCGACGACTGCACGTCAGTGTCATCGCACTCTCTGAGCTCTTCAGCGATCGGGACGTTGGGCACCGGGACGTCGTGCGAGTCGCCCGTCGGCTCACTGCCGACCCCTGGGCCTGCTGGGCGGATGTGGACCGCGAGGTTTGGTGGTGGTGGTGGTGGAAGGAGGAAGACCAACTTGATGTTGGTCAGCTGGATATCGGTCTGACGGAGAGAGCCGCTGTCGAGCAAGAGGGCGATCTTGCGGTTGCTGTGCCGCAGCTCCCCGTCCCAGCTCAGCAGGTGCTCGTCCAAGACGGCCGCAGTCATCCAGGCACTGGCAGAGCTGCGGTAAAGCGCGGGCAGCTGGCTCAGGTCGTTCGAGGCGTTTCTCCGTTTCTCCGACTTCCCGAGCACCACCAGAGGCCGCTTCTCGCTGCGCGACGCGTTGACGCACTCCAGGACCGTGACTCGCTCCTTCGCCTTCTTACGGCCGTGGGGGGCCTCGGCCATCGTCGCGAGCCCTCGATCGACGAATCCGCGGGGAAAGAGCGCCGTTTCGTCGGCGGCGAAGACGTCGTCGGGCGGGAACTGATGCAGCAGCTCCCGCAGGACGCTCGCTCGCCGCTGCTCAGCCGATTCCAGCACGGCATGCTGTGGCCGCCGCTGCCGCAGCTGCGGTGTCTCCGCGCGATCCCGTCTCAACGCGATGCTGTGCCGCGCCTTGAACCGATTGAACCAGCCGTCGGACGGCTCGAACTCTCGGCCAAGCTCAGCCGCGAGCTGGCGAGCCTTCTCCTTCATGACGGGCCCGCTGAGGCGAGCGCCTAGGGCCAACTTGTGCTGGAACCAGACGAAGAGAGCCTCGTCGATAGCCGCCTCCTTGCAGTTGCGCTTTCGCTTGCGGTCGGAATTGTAGGACGATGAGCGGCGTAAAATCTCCTCTCGGTTCTGGAAAACGGGGAGACAGCGCGACATTCTAGAACGCTACAGCAGCTTGGCCGACTGCAACATCATCGCAAGCCATGGTCATATCCACTGCTGGATGAAGGTCTCCCTAAGCCGCTGCCATCTCCCACAAATTTGCCATGCGATGTCCACCCAGAACCGGCACACAAGCCGATTTGTTTAACACGTACAGTAAAACCTTGCATTGCGAGCATCATTCGTTCCGGAAACGTGTTTGCAATCCAAAGCACTCCTATATCAAAGCACTCGTACATCAGTTGTGATCACGTGACGCTCGGCAGTACAAAGCGTATACGTACACTACTCGTATTGCAAGACCTCGCTCGTTTATCAAATTAATATTTATTTACAACTTTTGCTCGCCTTGCAAAACACTCGCAGACCAAGTTACTCGCAATCCAAGGTTTTACTGTAGTAGGCTTTCGCGACCAATGTCATCCAGTTTTTTTTTCTGGGTTAGATCGTGTGATTAACTAAATGTGCCGATCTCATCGCTCCGGCTCTCCTCCAGGACGCGTTCCTTGGCTGCCACTCGCTCCACAAGCGCCAAGCCCACTGACCCTTCTGAACACGTTTCAAACGAGTCCCTAATTTGCACGTGCTCTCTACTCCGTGCCATCGACCAAACAACGTGTTCGAGAAACATGATCCGCAACGAAACGAATGGGACGAAAACACAAAACGCACAATCGCTGGGATGACTCTGAATTCGGGTTGTGAACCGGTAACCGTTTTCAGACTCGAATTCCGGCTATGAAAGGCGGCTACCGGTAACCGTTTCCAATGCGGTGTTAAGTAACGCACCAATTGGCTCTTGCGAGCAAACCGCACGGCGCCCCGAGGTCACCACGTGATTCATTTGCCCACGTGTCGCAATTAAAAAACAAAGATGTGGTCTGTAATAGAGGACTTTGTGGGGTTTTTTTGGGGGGGGGAGGGGTGGATCACGTAACTATGTGTCGTTAAACCCGCCACCACCCGACGCAGCCAATTAGTGAGGGGTTTGTCGCGTGAAGGTGCAGCACTGAAACTGTTCACGACACTGCCCGTGGAAGGGTCTCCACCCCCACTCGAGTTGGCCCTGGCGGGGTTTGGTCTACTCTTCCGTGTCACGACCAGACGTCTTGGAAGTGTAGGGGGGGGGGTGTGTGGGGGGTGTGTGGGGGAGTGTGTGGGGGGTGTGTGGGGGTGTGGGGGGGGTGTGTGGGGTGTGTGGGGGGGTGTGTGGGGGGGGGCTGTGGTGGGGGTGTGTGTGGTGGGGGGTGCCCACCACTTCACCCCACCACACGTGACCTGCCATGCCAGCCAGTGCAGCAGACATCTCCCGGCGTTTCCGAGTTTGTAGAAACACTTTGGTTGGTTTGCTGCTGCTGCTGCACGTACGGGGTAGACACCGCGCGGGGTAGACACCGCGCGGGGTAAACACCGTACGTGGTAGACGCCGCTTCTTCTTCTTGTTGTTTGTCACGCAAGGTACCGGCAAATTCTCAAAAAGCAACCCCAGTTGATGAACGCCGTTTCTGCTGCTGCTACTTTCCGAGATGGACTTATACATCAACAACATCATGAACATCAATAACAACATCACCTTGAGGGTCCTGTTGACCACGCTCCGCGACACCCCGAAGTCTGCAGCCACACGCGACTGGTTGGGGTTCCCGTCCAGGGCCCTCAGCATCGCCATCTTGGTGGCGAATGAGACGGTGACGCGGCGCGGGGCCGACACGACACCACCACCACCAGCACCGTCACCACCACCATCGCCACCACCACCAGCATTGTCACCACCACCACCAGCGTCATCACCACCACCATTGTCACCACCACCATCGCCATCACCACCATCGCCGTCACCGGCCATCATCGATCCACTGCTGGATGAAGAGCTCTCACAGCACCACCAACAAATCCGTCGAGGTGCAGAAATCCACACCTGGCCACGATTCGGAACACCACCTACCCACCACCACCACCACCTACCCACCACCACCACCACCTACCCACCACCACCACCACCTACCCACCACCACCACCACCTACCCACCACCACCACCACCTACCCACCACCACCACCACCTACCCACCACCACCACCACCTACCCACCACCACCACCTACCCACCACGCAACGTTAACAGCGGCTCCGGGCCCGTGAGAACGCGGGGAGCGGTGGCGCTTTGGTTAGCGCACTGCGCTAAGGCCCGCGGCCAACATCGGCGGCGAGTGACACTTGAAGCGCTCTTGACCCTCCTCACCTTCACCTAACACGTCCTTACCCAATGGTGGTGGTGGTGAAGTGTGGTGAAGTATGGTCAAAGAACCCCCACGCATCGATTGGGCCTTCGTGCATTGGAGGAGGAGGGAGGGGAGCTTTGTCGCTAAAATCAACATCCGGCTTCCACTGTCGAATCCAACCGAGGAATCGTCCCGGGAATCGATTCCCTACCGTACGCATCGCCAACACGGGAATGCGGGAATCGGTAAACTGTGGAATCGGTAAACTGTTGGATCGCTTTATCGATTATTCGCAACGTGTCGCAGCTTTCGTTTTCGCAGTGACGTCACGTTCCTGCTCCTCCCCCTCTGCTGGCCCCTCCTCCCCTTCTACCCCCCCCTTCTCCCTTCTCCCCCCTCCTCTCCACCTCCTTCCCCCTCTTCCCCCTCCTCCCCTCCTCCCCCCCACACCTCCCCCCCTCCTCCCCACCTCAAAATATGAACTAAATAAGAGAGGAGGTTTTACCCTTTCTGGAAATAAAACAGGGGGCTGTAAAGATGTCCCAACACCAAATAGAAACCTTCTTGCAAGGAATCAAGTCTGCATCGACCACGCACAGTCCTGGTGGTGAACATGCAAACAAACACGCACTCAGATATTGAAATTGACAGACCGACATCAGAGACACTTCCTATGATCACTGTTACATTGTTTTTTATAGATTTATTTTGGTGAGTTTGAAAACGTTTTGGTTTAGCCATGTTTGTTTGTTGTAGTACAGAGTTCGCCTGATAACTTTAACCTACATTGTCTTATGGTTGTTATTGTTTGACTTGCATCCCACTGGGAATTTTGCACACAGCGTTGAAATGCGGTGTTTTTTCCGGAAGACTTTTGCTGTTTTTTTCCAGGATTTCTCTGTTGCGCGTAGTCACTTTAAGATGTTTCTTGTTCATGTTTTTGTTTTGTTGCGGTTGCACCCGAGTCAAGAGCCGCATGGCTCACAGGGTGACACCTAATACATGAAAACTGAAAAAGGACCTCGTCTCACAAGTGCCGGGCCAGTATCAGGTGGAACAGTCACAGCAAGATCGCTGCCTCCGAAACGTCGTGATTTAATTGTTTTATTTAATTTTCATTTTACCTACATGACTTTACCGAAAAAAAACAAAGTATGAAACCTTGCAGTCACGAAAGCTTCAAATCTGGAATGAATGTCGTGACATTATGGGTCACTACGACGCCTAGCGCCATCTACCGACAGAGAGGGAGGAGTTGTGTGAGTAGTGGCCCTCTCTGGCAGCAGAGTACAACGATGTCATGAAGAGCCCCCTAGGTGGCACGGTTCTGGTGGCTGGCAGAGCGGGGGCATCTGAGGACGGAGCAGCCTGTTGGCTGGCAAGGGCACGTGACAGGACATGGTAAGGACGTGGACCAAAGGTGACAGGAGGGACACGTGGTGTATGGCGCAGAGTCTTCTGGGGAGTTCCAGAAGGGGGCGTGGCCGAGGGCGGAGCCAGGCCACGCTGGGGGGTATAAAAGGGAGGTCCCGGGGTCCCCTCGGGGCTGTCTGCTGGAATGGAACTCGTCGTGCTGCGTCTTTTCCTCGGTCTCTGCTCTTCGTGCTCGGCATCGTGGGTCAGGCAGTGTACCTGACCCGTTTATATAGTTACCCCGTGGTGGTTACCGGTTATGTAGTTACCCCGTGGTGGTTACCGGTTATGTAGTTACCCCGTGGTGGTTACCGGTTATGTAGTTACCCCGTGGTGGTTACCGGTTATGTAGTTACCCCGTGGTGGTTACCGGTTATGTAGTTACCCCGTGGTGGTTACCGGTTATGTAGTTACCCCGTGGTGGTTACCGGTTATGTAGTTACCCCGTGGTGGTTACCGGATATGTAGTTACCCCGTGGTGGTTACCGCTTATGTAGTTACCCCATGGTGGTCGTAGAATGAACGTGTTGCCTCCTGAATTAGTGTGTCTCTAAAGTGATCTCACTACAAAAGTCTGAAAGAATAAGAAGAGGTTTTACCCTATCTGGCAATAACACAGGTGTCGTCAAGATGTTCAAACGCCAGATAGAAACCTTCTACAAGGAATCACGTCTGCAAGAACCACACGAAGCACGTGTTTGTTTTGCATGTTCACCACAAGTAACGCGTCTGGTTATTGCAGACTTGATTCCCGGTAAAAGGTTTCTGTTTGGTGTTTGAATATCTGAATACAACTCCTGCCTTATTGCCAGAAATGAGTAAAGCCTCTTCTTATTTTTCAAACTTGTGACACTGCTGAGCTTGAGGTCTGCCAATGTTTCCACATTCGTGTGGTGGCCTAAAATGTCGCCGCCTTCCCACATCTGTCCCGTCACCTAATACGCGGTGGCTTGTTTTAACACATCCCATCAGTCACATGGCCTCCTGGGAGCGCATGTGTTGTGACCGATAAGGTTGAGAATTGAAATGCGATGGGTAGAATGTTGGTGGTGTGTCTGGGAGAGGTTGGCGCACCGCGTTAAGAACCCTACTCCCGCTCACGGCAAACACCAGTAGACGATTATGTGAACCGGTCCTGGGCCTCCCCTTTATCGACTCAGCCTCAAACGAGTACCTGGTGCGGTGTCTAAACATCGCCACAGGGGAGACAAAGGCGATCGGGCGTGGTGCTGGCCACCTATCCCTCGTGTGCCGTGCCGGCCTTCATAGGTGCTGCTCACTTGCCCCAACAGTCTAGTTAAGGCTACGAGGGAGATCTTTGTCTTTGCTGCCCGGATCATCTTCAATCTTCCTTAGCAGTCCCACACAGCAACTCTCCTTATCCAGGCGCACTGGGTTCACGTCGCCTGTTCAAGTTCCTCACTCGAGTTGACAACTCGATCCACGGTTCGGGCCCCAATGCGTCTCGTCGACTTCCCTCGTTCTGAACACTCCTCCTCGCCCCCTGCGTTCACAATCCCGGCTGTCTCTGCCCCCTCTCCCCCTTGTGCCCAATCACCATTCCCTTCGTTCTGTCTCGCTTCTGCACCCCCCCCCCCCCCCTTATCTTGGAACAAACTTCCCCCGACACGTAAATCAGCCTCACTGTCCATTTTTCGTTCTTAAAACACTCAAACTGATTTCCATTCGCGGAACCCAAACGCCCTCTTTCCTCTGCCTTGCCCCATCATTAACACCAACTTCGCTACCAACCCATCACACTCATCATGAACCACACATTGTCACTTTCATCGGTTTACTTTACGCACCATCACCATCATCCCATTCACGTACCACCTACCAACCTTCTCATCAACTCACCTCATCACACCCCCGCTGTATGAACAACGCATTGACTTGTTCAGCCTCTTGCTTGGTGAAGGCGCTTTCACTAATGACAATAATAGGATCGTGGTGTGTGGACGTGACGAGATGCCACCGCGTGTGTGAAGTGTGTGACGGTGTGTGTGACGGTGTGTGTGACGGTGTGTGTGTGACGGTGTGTGTGTGTGACGGTGTGTGTGTGTGCGTGACGGTGCGTGTGTGTGTGACGGTGTGTGTGTGACGGTGTGTGTGACGGTGTGTGTGTGTGACGGCGTGTGTGTGTGTGTGTGAAGGCGTGTGTGTGTGTGTGACGGTGTGTGTGTGACGGTGTGTGTGTGACGGCGTGTGTGTGTGTGACGGTGTGTGTGTGTGTGTGACGGCGTGTGTGTGTGTGTGTGACGGTGTGTGTGTATGACGGCGTGTGTGTGTGTGTGACGGTGTGTGTGTGTGACGGTGTGTGTGTGTGTGACGGTGTGTGTGTGTGTGTGTGACGGCGTGTGTGTGTGTGTGTGACGGTGTGTGTGTGTGACGGTGTGTGTTGGAGACGCTGCTGCTGAGACTGGAGCGTGCCACTAAGAGGTGGGGCCTTACCATCAGCCCCACCAAAACTAAACACCTGCCTGGGTATTTTGTACCATCGGACACTCCACCCCCACAACTCCCAATCGGTGATGGGGCAGTTGTGGAGAGAGTGGAGAGTTTCCCATACCTGGGCAGTGTGCTTATGACTGGCTCCAGTTTAACAGCAGAGGTCTCACTCCGAATCAGTCGAGCGGCAATATCTTTTCATCGGTTGCGTAACGCTGTGTGGAAGCTACCTGGTCTGTCGCTCCGCACTAAGCTTCAGGTCTTCTCGGCCACGGTCATTCCCTCCCTTCTCTACGCTTGCGAAACGTGGACCCCCCTAATGGAACATCTTCGCCGGTTAGAAACATTTAGGCTGGCCTGCCTACGCTCCATCCTGGGTTTAACCAGACTGGATTGTGTGAGGAGCTCACAAATCCTTGAAAGATCTGGGCAGGGTCCCATCGGTGAGCTCCTCCGGCAGGCAAGGCTGCGATGGCTGGGTCATGTAGCCCGCATGCCCAGCCACCGCATGCCGAAACAGCTTTTGTTTGGCCGGATTGAGGGGGCTAAGCGGGCGCGGCACGGGCTAGAGAAGAGATGGAGTGATGTGGTACAGGAGGACGTGGAGCTGAGTGGACTTGCCGATGACTGGTACCAGCGGTGTCAAGATCGGCCTCTGTGGAGGAGGCTCGTGAAGGATGCTACTGGGCAGTTGGAGGCAGTCGCCCTCCAACAACAACGGAGGGCGGAGGAGCGACGCTCAGAACAACGAGCGGAGCGCCGGGTGGCTAAAGCACAGCAGGTTGGCACAGTAGGGGGCACAGGTGGTGCATCAGCCAGTCATCTCAGTCAGTCGACCCGTGGCACCTGGGTCTGCCCCGTGACCTCCTGCCAGCGGGCGTTCGACACTTC